TTTAAACACTAAGACTCTCTCCTCCTCCCATCCCATCAATCATCACCAGATCTTCAATAAAGGTAAGTGTCATGTAATTGTGCATGCCTTTTTTAGTTTGTGTGTATTAAAATTAATATTTCATGTGATAAAAATTTTTTTTTCATACTTTGGGGTGTCTTGCACGGTTAATTTGATTTCTATTATTTCTTGTGGGGAAAATTCATTCGCATAACGATAATTTCGCATAACAATGAGCTCTCAGGAACGGATTAATATCGTTATGCGGGGCTCCACTGTATATGCATGTGCGTGTCTGTGAAGTGTGACCAAAGTGTAAGTAGGAGTAGCAAGATATCCCTGTTATCTAGCGTGTTTATAATCCCCCCACTACACTTCTCTCTTCCCCAGGTGCATACACACTTATAACCCACTTTTTGCATCTGACCCTTATTTTAATCCACATAATCCTTGAATTTATATTACCTCTTCTCCTTCTATAACTGATCCTTTAACATTATTTATAAAATTATGGCACATTTGTCAACAATACCTTTATAAAATTATGTTGCCCTTGTCCACAATACCTTATTATGCAACAGTGCAGAAACCTCCATAACAGTCAGTATGTCTAGGCCATCGCACTGACTGTAAGTGCTCCTTATTTATAATTTTTCTCTAATTCTGGTCTTGTTCTTCAAAAATGAGTTAAAACAAGGGAAAAATCTAATCTTTACTTCCAAAATTATGTTAGAGGAGTGGAAATGCAAAAATTAACATTAATTGTACTGCAGTGCAATTGATCCCCCACTCATCAAACATTCATTTAACATAATTTAGATTAGCTAACAAAAAATTACCTCTACCTCTCTGTTTAACAAGCATTTTCTACTTGTACAATGACCTCATGAGACTGCAAATTGTACATTTTAAAACCAGTGTGTCCAAAAAATATTAGCTTACCACACATGCACAAAATGGTCATCTTTCTTTCAACGCACTGGCCGTATCCCACTGAGGCAGGGTGGCCCAAAAGGAAAAACAAAAGTTTCTCCTTTTATATTTAGTAATACAGTGGACCCCCGGTTAACGATATTTTTTCACTCCAGAAGTATATTCAGGTGCCAGTACTGACCGAATTTGTTCCCATAAGGAATATTGTGAAGTAGATTAGTCCATTTCAGACCCCCAAACATACACGTACAAATGCACTTACATAAATACACTTACATAATTGGTCGCATTCGGAGGTGATCGTTATGCGGGGGTCCACTGTATATACAGGAGAAGGGGTTACTAGCCCCTTGCTCCTGGCATTTTAGTTGCCTCTTACAACATGCATGGCTTATGGAGGAAGAATTCTGTTCCACTTCCCCATGGAGATAAGTGGAAATAAACATGAACAAGAACTAGTAAGAAAAATAGAGGAAAACCCAGAAGGGTGTGTATATATATGCTTGTACATGCATGTGTAGTGTGACCTGAATGTAAGTAGAAGTAGCAAGACATACCTGAAATCTTGCATGTTTATGAGACAAAAAAAGACATCAGCAGTCCTACCATCATGTAAAACAATTACAAAATGATCCTTTACAGTGGTACCCCGAGTTTCGGCCATAATTCGTTCCAGAAGGCTGTTAGAGTGCTGTTACCAAATGAATTTGTTCCCATAAGGAATACTGTAAATTAGATTAGTCCATTTCAGACCCCCAAAAATACACTTAAAAAAGCACTTACAATAATACACTTACATAATTGTTCGAGTTGGGAGCTGTACGAAACTCGGGGTACCACTGTATGTACAAAACAAATTTTGTGAATTTGATAAAAAAAAGTAGCTAAGAACAAAAATGTAATCCAAAATTCAGTTATAATCCCAATACAATTCAAAAATTATGGAAAATCAGCATTTCTCTTCTTATTTTTACCAAAAAATTATGAACATACCAGATAGGCACCAAATGATCGTATACCAAAAATAAATGCAATTAGTTAAATAAGATATGAAGAAGTTATATATACATTTTCCTTTTACCCTCCCACCAACCACCACCCATGCAGCCTGCTGCTGTTTAAACTGAAATACATGTTATGAACCTCCACTTACTCATACCTTTACTACTGTTTTGTTCTCCTGTCTACCTTCCCCCTCCTCACATTGACATGATGTACATTTTTTTTTTTAGACTTGGCACAAGACACAATTTAAAAACCAACTTGAGAATTTTTTTTCAAAATATGTTTAAAGGAGAGAGTGGAAGTGGCAAGTACAATGCCTGCACTTCAGAGGAAGGGTTTGGGATATTGGCTGTTTGAAGTGACATCTACAGTCATATCTGGGCACCTCTGCAAAGACAGTGATATTGTGTGAATGATGATGAAAAGTGATATTTTAAAGAACTTTTCTGTCTTCACTAATTGGACAGTCTGAGGTTAGAATATTATTTGGATGCTAATTTGCTACCTTGTTCAATGTTCAGGTCAGAATTCTCGAAGAAACACATTTATCATGAATTTCAGAAATGATTACTGTAATTAATGATTAAACATTTACACTCAGTCCATATCCTTGTAATTTTTATGCTTTGCATAACTAAGTTTTTCAAATGGCTAATTATAGCCCAGCAAAATACAGTTGTCCTTACAAATTCCTGGGTTTCCTTTTTACAGGTATTGATTATCCATTATTTTTATAGATGAGCAATCTATGAAGAGTTTTGATTATCCATTGGTTTTCTGGCAGTACCCATTTTTTTCAGGCTTGGAAGACAACCTCTAAATTAAAAAGTAACAATAAATTTCATTTAAATTATGATCAATGGTTCACTAGTAATGTATTACAGAGATTAATGTTTCTGAAACACAGAATGAGCCCAAATCTGAAGTAAAATTTGATATGCAGATAATTTTGCATTTTTTTTACAGTTGTTAGTTTAGCAGGACCTCTGAGAACAAAACCCCTCGTGAATTTTTAGAGATTCCTGTATATTCTTTCTTACATTTCAGGAAATCATACAGATCCTTAGACACTCTCAACATTTAAAGAGTTTCTGGTCTTTCTGTTCCAGAGTTTCCTTTTCAGACATGTCCCTCTCTCAACTGGGAAAAGAGATGGGTATAGAGTATAATTGGAAAAAAGATATTAAGATTCTCCTGTTGTAATCTGTATACTCCTTCAGAATTATTACTGAAGTAAATAATTCTGTATTGATTTTTTTCTCAGGCTTTTTCCAGAAAAGTATTTCACTGATGTAAAGAGCACCAGGTTGGAGATTTTTTTTTTTTTTTTTTTTTTTTTTTTTTTTTACAGCTTTTATAGGGGGTTGAAATCTTTTCTCTGAATTGGTTTTTGTGCAAGTCAGTTTAATTTTTAACTTTGGTTTCCTTGGCTTTATGATAAAAGGGTTTCAAAGGCTGGACAGCATCATAGGTTTTGTTATACCGTCCTTCCTTCCAAACAAGGGAAGACTTATTCTAAGTTACCAGTGTTCATTTTTAAATCCCAAAGCCTTTTCTAGCAAAGGGTTGGGTCTGAAATGGTTTCATATCAGTACAGTCTTGTTTTTACCTACCATGTAACTTGGATTCTGGAGAAATTTCTCTACAATGTGGCTTTTTGGCTCACAGTTAAGTTTCTCTTGGAATATCTTTATGCAGGCCCTACATAGCCTCTTTTAATTTCTTTTTAACTTCTTTTAGTATTGTGAAGACACCTCAACTTTGCCTTGTCATCTGGTATGCTCAACTTTTAATGAAATTCTTCTTCAGTCCTGCTTATGCACTAGTTTTTCCTAAAGGGCCTTTCAGTCCAGCTTTGCTTTAAGCAAGTTTGTTTTCTAGTAAGTCATTTTATGGATTGACTACTATGAAAGCCTCATTTCTTATTCCATTAGTTTGGGAATAAATGTGAACATTTTGCTCTCTCTAGGCAGGACTTTTTGATGAAGTTTGTCAAGAAGCTGCATTGGATCAAGTTTAAAACTGGCAAGAGAAAGAGCCTCCTCATCTACCACAAGGTCTCTTTATCTAGTTTGGATCCTCTCCATTAGACATCATGTCCTATGCCCAGTACAAAATCTAACGGTTTCTCTCATGAAAATCTCTACCCTTGCAATCTTCAGCATCCACAGAACAAGGGCAACTGCTCTCCAAAGGAACATATTTTGAGCACTTACCAATCTAATCAAGCTTGCTCAAACTAATGCTTCTCATCAGGTACTGTCTTAATAGAAATTGCATCTTCATTTGATTCTTTTTTTTTATTATTTAAGTTTTCCAATCTAGGTTAGATCTCATTGGAGCTTCTGCTTAATCTTCATTATAGAGCATCTCATTGGTTCTCAACATTATTGTACATGTGTAATGCTTTGGAGTGGGTAAGAATGTTTCTTTTTTATATGTACAGGTAATCTTTCCTCCACATATTGATTTTGTTCTCTCAAATTTTATTACAGCTCCATTTTCAGTCTTAATTAAAGGATTGAATTGTGGAATTCAAGTTACCATCAGTGAGGAATAAGACTTGATCTTGATGTCTGCTTAATAGTAAGAATTAGTTGGGATCTTAAGTTTGGCCAGTAATGGGAGAATTAATGAAATGAAGGAATTCAGAGCTTTCATATCATGGCTGCTATATTTGCATAATGCCAAATTGTCTCTGAACTGCTACTTTCTTGTCTTCTCTGGACAGCTTACCTGTTGCATCTATCATAGTTGCAAACATGTACTCACTGGTTACATCTTATTCCTCACTAAACATTTTGATCTTCACAAGCTTATAGTTATCATTATTAAATTTTGTTCTAATCATCATTGAAAAATAACAGGTAAAAAAAATCCTAGTTAAACATAAACAGTTTACTGAAATAATGACTGGTACAGGTGATACGCGATCATATGCGTCAGTAGCAGGTTTGTTTATATTTACCTTATATTAGACCTAAGAAACTAACTAATTTTATTTGGTATTATCTGTTAGTATTCAGTTTCATTCTTGGTAAAGTGGTCCACCATTTTTTCAGAAATTGTGGATGAGGAGGTTGTGTCAACTATCACAAGTTGCCTAGGTTTATCAGGGGTTCAGTGCCAGATAGAATGGATTGCACGACACCGAACCATCCAGCAATGTTTTGGGTTGGTAAAAGACAAGGGCTACACGCTTGCCCTGGCATGTGATGGCTAAATGATAAGATGGACTTACCAGAGCAAAGTATTTGGAGGTCCCAAACATGAGTTTTATATGTATATGTATGTTTATGTGTGCACATATAAATACACATGTGCACACACACACTTCCCACACATACACATGTGTGCACACACTTGCATACATACATCATCGCCCACCAAGGTAGGATAAAACCCCACCCCAAAAAATAGGGATAATTTCTCTATCACTTATTCAGTTATTGCCAGAAATTACAGACATCACAATTCAAATAACACTCCGAATAGTAACATCCCCACCAGTCCTTCAAAGTAAAGGCACTTTATTTCCCATCTCCAGGACTCACATTTGACTAACCAATTTCTCTTAATGTTGCCTTGTTCACACTTCAGTAGCATGTCATCCCTAAAACCACTTGCCTCAGTGCACTCAAATCTAAAATGCTAACACACACACTTACTGGATATTCAAACCCCTACCACTTAAAACCACTTTCACATCCTCCCTCCACCCTTTCCTTCGATAACACCTACCCTTGTACCCTGGATTTATACAGCCTTTTGATCATCCTTTTCTGATCCAACCTCTCTAAATGCCAAAAACCACTTCAACAACCCCTCCTCTGCCCTTTGAATAATACCATTTGTAACCCCCACACACTTCTGATTGCTACTTGGGTTTCTTTCATAATTTTTACACCACACATTGCTCTCAAACATTGATATATGCACCACCTCTAACCTCCACTACAATATTTAAAGCCCATGCTTCACACCCATTTAAAAAAATGTTGGTTTCACTATATTCTGGTACACTCCGCTTTTTCTTTCCATAAACTTTCTTGCCATAGGCACTTAAACACTCCATGTAAATTTTTTTACTTTCATTTATATTCTATTGTGTGGTTCAGCTCATTTTTCATGGGCCCATCTACCTACACATCCACTCCCAAATATCTAATTACATTGACTTCTTTTCTTTTCCTCTCTTTTGCTAATATGATAAAAAAAAATTATCTAAACTTATTTGTTACTCTCATCACTTTGTTCATTTTTGTATTCACTTTAATTTCACTTTTTCACACCCTCCCAAACTCTTCCACCAACATTTGTAACTTTGCTTTAGAGTTTCCCAAAAGAACAGCATCAGTAAAGAGCAACTGTGACACCTCCCACTTCGTATCAGATTCATTACTTTTTAATCTTGTCTCTCCCCAACATCCCTAGTATTTACTTCATTTACAACCCCATTTAAAAGATATATTAAAGAACAGTGGTTGTTGTTGAGTTTTAAATATTAATGATATCTGTTTAAGAGTAACTATAAACATTTTTAAATTGGACTGCCTCTGTTAATGCAAAGTACTATGTGCTCATTCACATTAGCAACATTAAAGTTTTGGGAACACTGATGTGTGTACATTAATATTGGAGAAATTTTATGACGAATATTGCTTATTGTTAATAGAAGCAGTTCTTGAAGTGTATGTGAAGTGTCTTGTCCTAGGTTGGCAAGTAAAACTTTGTGCTGTGACTTCATAAATGGGTACTATAGTGTATCACTGCACTCATGCCTGATGGGGAATATGGGCTTTATAATCTGTTTGGTAAATGAATAAGAAATATGTGCAACACTCGGGGTACCTTTAGTGTGGAGAAGTTTTGCCATCCAGTGGCTTAATCAGTCTGATACAGAAAATAGTCCTGGATATGGTGGAAGACATGAATTATTATTATTAGAATCAAGGGGAAAACACTAAACCCATAGGGGGGCTATGTGGAAGGTATTCAGGCTTAATTCAGGGAACTGGAGCACAGATCCAATTCCCTAGATCAGGAGCCCCTCACCAGCATCAAGGAACCTTCCTTGAGAGGGGGAAGTCATGAAGTAGTAGTTAGAAAAGGGATGAGTTCCTCAGCCTTGATTGGAGGTGTTCACTCCATCAGTCTTGAGATTTCTTCCCTTAGCCTGGCTGGCTGATTAACAGATGTAGGATCAAACTTCCATCACACTTTGTGCTGAATGACCCACACAGGTTTATGCTTTATGTTAAGAAATTTAAAAACAATATTCTCCATCTTCTGGCACCTACTTTAGATTTATCAAGACTGATGGACTGAACACCTCAGATCAAGGCTTAGAGACTGATTGCCTCAGACTTCTGCATGTCTTCCTTTATCTCCAGGACTCTTCTCTGTATTGGATTGATAAAGCCACTGGTTGGCAAAGTGTCTCTGCAATAAAGATACCTAATAAAGATTATTTACAAATCTCCAAGTTGATAATTATTATACTGTACTTGACAAACTATTATTTTTATGGGGCACCATGCTCAAGTGAAAGTTATAATGAGTCAGGATTATTTTTATGTTCATTCTGTTCATCAGAGCTAATGGATGAACAGTGCCTTATTCCAGTCTTGTAATTGCTACAATACTATACATTTTCTTCACTGATAATTATTTGTTGGAAATATCACAGGGATTTTGTGGTGCTTATCATTTGTGGTTTATTTTTATGCAATTAGAATTGTTAAGGCAGATATAGGCATATTTCCTGTGGCCTTCAGGAATTGCACTTAATTTTTGATAGCAAAAGTGAGGGATTTAATATATAATCAAAACCAGATTCAAGTAATGTATTTTCATCCATGATGCCAGTAAGTACTTAGGGTGAGAAAAATTGACTTTATTCCCAGTTGATATTGTTAACAATTGATGGTTCAAATGAAGTCTTAAGAATAATTGTGTACAAATAAATAATGCAGTGATAATTCATCTTAGTGTCTCAAACTAAAGTTACTTATATGCTAAGTAACAATGCCTTTTTATAAAGTTGTGTGGATTTTAGAGTACAGTATTACATGCAAGTGAAATGATGCATTATGTTAAGGATTCATTCCAATAACTTTTTTTGTTATGTATAGTATGAATGTATGGGCAGTTTAACCTGTCATGTCAAATGAGAATTGATTGTTGTATTGAATGATTGTGATTAGACTGGCTTGGAAAATGTGTATTGCCACAATTATTGTGTTGTGTTTGGAGATAGTAAAACCTCTTTAATAGAAACTGCCTGGATGGCATTTTAAACTACAATAATTATATTGTCCAGTTATTGCAATTTAAGTCTTATTTAAAAATTATTTTAAATAAAGTTAATTTACTTATCCTTAACAACAATTTACTTTTTTTTTTTTTAACAAGTCGGCCATCTCCCACTGAGGCAGGGTGACCCAGAAAGAAAGAAAATCCCCAAAAAGAAAATACTTTCATCATCATTCAACACTTTCACCTTCACCTCACTCACACATAATCACTGTTTTTGCAGAGGTGCTCAGAACACAACAGTTTAGAATCATATACGTATAAAGATACACAACATATCCCTCCAAACTGCTAATATCCCAAAACCCCTCCTTTAGAGTGCAGGCATTGTACTTCCCATTTCCAGGACTCAAGTCCAGCTATATAAAAATAACCGGTTTATCTGAATCCCTTCACTAAATATTACCCTGCTCACACTCCAACAGATCGTCAGGTCCCAAATACCATTTGTCTCCATTCACTCCTATCGAACACGCTCAAGCATGCAATTTACATATAGTAAAAATTTTCTATATTAAGTATTTATAGTGTATTTTTATGAATTATATGATTTTAAAATGGTTTCAGCTTTCCTTAGATGAAACACTACATGCTAAGTAGCAGGGGCGTCATGAGGGGGGGGGGGGTGCGGTCCACCCCAGGTGACACCATAGTCTCTCTAAAGAAAGTAACACTAATGACAAAAACAGTGCTGCAACAACATAAGAAAAAAATTCTTCATTTCTATATAGCCTATTATAGAATTGCAAAGTACAAATAGGCCTATATAGGGAAAATCATTGATTTTGATGATGTGATAGATGATTTTGCAGGATTGAAGGCAAGGAAATGAAATTTCAGATTCATTGAGATGTTACCTGTACTCAAGGTCAAATCGGAACTAGTGTTTTTCTTTATTTTTCAAGTTTTCTTTTTTCATTGTTGGAGATGAATAAATGTAGGATCTGTTGCCTATACTCAAAGTGGTATTTGAGTTTGTTTCCTCAATATTACTATGATTATTTATTTTATCAATAATAAAGTTCAGTTTATGGCCTTTAAACATTCTCATTGCTAAACTTTAGTCACTGGTCATGCAGTAGTGATGTAACTGGAGTTTACTTCCCCTATTCCCCCACCCTTGGATTTCATGGGGGTGACACCAAAGATGCCGTCCCGGGTGACACCAACCCTAGCGATGCCTCTGCTAAATTGGAGTGCCTATTCTTCTGTTCCAGAGGTTCCTTAACTTCTCATGCACTGAAGTACCACTGGTTTTGAGAATTTTTACACCCTCATAGGCTCAACCTGGAGCCAGGCTTTTCTATTTATTGCCGGTTCAACCAGGCTGTTGCTGTTAGTGTCCCACTGGCCCATATTGCCAAAGCAGTCTGGTTGATCTGGCACTTAGTGGAGGTATTGATCCAGTTTCCTCTTGAATACTTCTGCACTTGTTCTGATAATATTTCTGATATCAGCTGGTTGTAGATCGAATAGTCTTCAACCACAGATGTTGGCATATTATTTTTTTATGGTGGTCATGTCATCCCCTACTTTCACTGGGTCTGTTTTATGCTTTTTCCTGTATCTCTCACTCCAGTAGGTTATAGTAGGGTGTATATTTGGGATTAGGCTTTAAAATATCTTCCCTATATATATATTTTTTTTTCAACAAGTTATCCATCTCCCACAGAGGCAGGGTGACCCAAAAAGAAAATACTTTAATCATCATTCAACACATTCACCTCACTCATACATAATCACTGTTTTTGCACAGGTGCCCAGATACAACAGTTTAGAATCATATAAAAAGATACTTCCAAACTGCCAATATCCCAAACCCCTCCTTTCAAGTGCAGGCATTGTACTTCCCATTTCCAGTACTCAAGTTCTGCTATATAAAAATAACCGATTTCCCTGAATTCCCTGTAATATTATCAGATATTTCTCTCTTTCTTTGCATCAGAGTACATTTCAAGTTGTTTGAAACATTCCCAGTAGTTTGCATGCTTTATTGGCTCCTTTCAGGCAGTATGCAGTTTATCTTTTCCAGGGTTGATATATCTACTGCTTTGAACAGAGTTTTCAGCACTGAACTGTATTCTCAGTGAAACAGCATTGGCATTTTTTCCTCTCGTTTAGAAAGTTCTCATTATCATCCCTGACATTTTTCTAGCTTATGCAGCATTTTTCTTGCTGTGTTCTCTGATAGATAAATCACTGTTATTATACCCAAGGCCTTTATATGTTATTTTTTGTTCTGTGAAATGGTTCTCCCATGTTTTGTACCATTGCATCCTTTGAGTCCTTCATTCTTTCCATAGCTAAGCAGTTGCAATTTGTCACTATTAAGCGTTATATTTTCTACAGCTGAATGCAAGATTTTGTTGAAGTCTGCTTGTAAATTTTCCATGTCTAATACAAAACCAACTTTTGTGCTTATTTTTGTGTTGTTCACAAATGATAAGACAAAGCTGTGACTAGTATTCACTCTGTCTATGCCTGCTATGACAATAAGGAATGGTAAAGGTGCCAGGACTGTTCCTTGGGGAGCTGAATTTTTACTTTGCAAAGGTCAGAATTTTCTTGATTTTCTACAGTGCGACTCTGTCTTCTTTTCATTAGGAAATTTGATATTTATTTTACAATTTTTTTTTTTTTGATAGAAGTGTTGATGTCTTTTTATTCCTGTCTCATAAACACAGAAGATAACAGGCATATCTTGCTACTTTTACTTAAAATTAGGTCACACTACACATGTATGTACACTTTTATATATACAGTAGGGCCCCGCTTTACGGCGTTCCGCTAATACGGCGATGTCAAATTATGACCAAAATTTACTATATGGCAAGCAGTCTTTCAAATATGGCACGCCCCACCTGGTTTGTTTACATTTTCCGTGACCACATCTATTATGTCTGGAAACCTCCAAAATTTGAAGTGTTTTACAGTTATTGCATATTTTATAAGTACTCTGATAATTAAACTTATGTGTACCTGTACCTAAATATATGTATACACTGTGCTGGTGTGCAGGTACACATTAAAATCGCTAAGTCTCTCTACTTATGACGCCAATAGTACGTAACAATCATCACTCTTGGACACATTAAGTGTCTTATTTAACATTAATATAGACATTTTCATTAATCCATCTATGATATTTTCCTCAAAATTATATAAGAAACACATTACATAGCATATAAACATGATACATACACTCGCAGAATAAAAATTGATGTAAATATGAGATTTGTTTACAAAGCGGCTGTGTAGGTAGTGTCGGAAGAATTACGTTTTCTCTAGTCAAACACTGGGGGATAACTGTAAAAAAATATTACTTTCTTATGCCTTGACTCTATATATAGCAATTCACGACTCTTGTGGGTTTAGCGCTTTTTTATTATGATAATAATATCTTCATTCACTCTAAAAATGGTGTGCTGCATGAGAATGGGAGTGTAGCTGTTTGTTTATTCTGTACTAACTTGTAGAACTTGTACACAGTGTAAGAGTACAGTGGACCCCCGGTTAACGATATTTTTTCACTCCAGAAGTATGTTCAGGTGCCAGTACTGACCGAATTTGTTCCCATAAGAAATATTGTGAAGTAGACTAGTCCATTTCAGACCCCCAAACATACACGTACAAACGCACTTACATAAATACACTTACATAATTGGTCACATTCGGAGGTAATCGTTATGCGGGGGTCCACTGTATTTGTATTGTGAGGTAATTATTATTAATAAAAAAATATTGTGAGGTAAAAGTTTTACAAACTCTTACAAATGTATGTGAATGAACTAAAAGCAGACACACATTAATACGCATTTATTGCGCCTGACAAAGTGATCACCCACTACCTGTTCAGTTTGTGCTCTTACATTGTCTGAACTCTGTTTACTCTTTCATTAACTAGTTGGCTCTCATTGACGATTGCGTCTAAGCTTAGCTGTGATAAAAAGAGGAGTCGTAAGCCTCTTGCTTTAAGTGCCAAGTTAGAGGATGATGGTGTGCCATTCTGATTTTATTCAATAAACACCCTGCCACTTACCTCTCACACATTAATATTTTAAGGTAAGTAATAAGTGTACTCTGTGTGTATCTTACCTTTTATTGTGTTTTTAATGCCTATTTCTATTGCTAACTTAATATAAGTTAGTGTAAACTTGTTGTCTGGTATTTATTGCATATTTTATATGTGCTCTGATAATAATACTTGTGGACTTGTGTGGTAGCCGGGTGGAGGGATAACATTACGTTTCCTCTGGTCAGGCACCAGAGAAAACGTGCATGAATCTGCATTTGGCCCAGCCACTCCCCCACTCCGCTTTTGTTTACAATTTTTGGCATGAATTATTCGTTACTTCTCCCTTCATTTGTGATGGCATCTAAAGGTAGTTGTTAGAAACAATTAATTTCAGTGAACAAGGTATGTCGGTGCTAATAATATGGCTCTGGGCCACAGTGTAGGTAGCCGGTAGGTGTAGCCCAGGCGGGCTACACCACATTAACCATCTTCCACATCTCGGGCACAACACCAGTAAGGATGGACACATTAAACAAACTTGTTAATGGCTGACTAAGTTCCATCTTGCATTCTTTAAGTACCCTGGAAAACAACTCGTCAGTTCCCGGGGACTTATTTTGCATTAGTTTATCTATCTGTTTGATAACCATGTCCTTCGTGACAGTAATATAAGTTTACAATATAGGTAGTATGGGGGTTGAAGAGGGGTGGGACAGTTTTAAAAAGGCAGTGTTAGAATGCAGAGCAGAAGTTTGTGGTTATAGAAGGGTGGGTGCAGGAGGAAAAAGGAGTGATTGGTGGAATGAGGTAAAGATTTTGAAAAAAACCAAGAAAGGTCATTAGAGAGATTTTTTGAGAAAAAGTGTTTAAAAAAGGGGGAGTTATATGAGAGAAAGGAGTGGTAAAGGATGCAAAAGGAGAGAAATGAAAAATGGGTGGGGCCTGTCAAAAAATTTTTGCGAAGTAAGAAAAAAATTTGGAGTGAGATAAAAAATTTAAAAAAAAGCCTAGGAAAATGGATTTGACTTTAAAAAAGAATGGGAATTTAGTGTGGGGGTTTGGAAGGGGAAATTTTTGAGGAATTTTAAATGTTATAAAGAGAAGGAGCAGAATTTTCATGTCGGGCCAGGGGTATAACATTTTGTAGGAGTAAAAGCCGAGTGAATACTAAAATGGATACAATACTGACAGGTTGTATGAAAGCACAGGGGCAACAGTTAGGCAACTTTTTTGCCTAACTGTTCCCCCTGTGTCTTATCCCCAAAGGCCAGATGTGATTTGGGGAAGGTGATGAGGCATTAAAGTAGAATAAAGGGAGAAAAGCACCCAGAACTATGGGATCTGACAGAAATTAAAGCAGGGGGGATATAGTGTTGGAGTGTTGGAATTTTTTGTTCAAAAAATTTTTAAAAAGGGGGGAAGGTACCTGGGGCGGGCAAGTGTGTGTATAATTCCTTTTTAAGGGAAAAGGGAAAAGAATGGAAAAAATTATGGGGAAAAAAGTTTTATGAGTTTTCCAGGTAAAGGTTGGTAGGGTTATTATTGAAAAATTGGAGGTAAGACAGAGAGAGGATTGAGATGAAGGGTAGGGGATGTGTAGATAAAGTGTTTACATTGAAGCATAAAAATGACAATTTTTTTTTTTCTAAACAAGTCGCTGTCTCCACCGAGGCAAGGTGCCCCAAAAAAAGAATGAAAACCCCCCAAAAAGAAATATTTCTCATATTCAAACTTTCACCTCACTCATACATAATCACTGTCTTTGCAGAGGCGCTCAGATACGACATTTTCAGAAGTCCCTCCAAACGTCAATATCCCAAACCCCTCCTTTAAAGTGCAGGCATTGTACTTCCCCCTCAGTTTCCCTAAATCCCCTTCATTTAAAAATTTTTCCTGCTCACACTCCAAAACCCCTTTATGTCCAAAACCATTCTCTCCATTCACTCCTATCTAACCCCACACCACGGAAGTCCCCAAAGGTATAGATCGAAAAACCAAAACCTTTTCTTTTTGGTAGCATACCCTCCGATGCAATTCCCGCAATTCCCGGGCAGCTTGAAAAAAAAATTACCACTCTCTGGAAAATTCTCAACTCCGCCCCAAAATCTTCTACTAGGAGATTTTTAACCTG